TGCCCATCACGGGTATCGAAATCCGGTTTCTAGCGTTGTAAGTCCGCAGACATACCGCTGCGCCACTGGGGGGCGAACAGAATGGACAACTGAAAATAAAAAACAGGTTGAGAGGCCTAAGGAAAATCATACTGTTAAGTAGGTCTTCGAGATTTGAACTTGGAAGGAGCAAGAATGTGAAAGAAGACAAAGTGAATCAGAGTTAGAAAAAGCAATAAGATTAAACAATACAATGACCCTTTTCCATAATATCATCAACCTCTTACCATGCATTACACGGGTATACATCTGCTAGTGTTAATAAAATAGAACCATAAGATTAAACGATACGACTTTTTTCCATAATATCAACATCTGATTTGTTAACTTTCATCCACCTCTCACCATGCATTACACGGGTACATCTGCTAGTGTTAATAACACAGAACCATTTGTAGTGCAAAAGGTTGGTTTATAAGTAAATCACCACCTATACGTTTATTTTATATCTAAGATCGTATAACAATTTCTCAAGTAATCTCCTTTACCATCGACTTAGTTCTAGAAAGAAGCTAGTAATACCTCAGAATCACTTTTCAGTCTAAGCCGAGTTAGATCCCCCCGCGCAACTGTTACTCTTAAGCCTAACATTTAAGAACCAATTATATTAGTCTTTTTATCACTAGTTTGTCTTCACATTAAAGTAAATCGTAAAACAGATTAAATACATTGTTTCATTAAATAAACACAATCTAAAAACTAGTTTATTGGTCTTCGTTTTTTAAGGTTTAAATTCGTGTTTCAATTCAGCCAATAGTTTTAGGTAGGTTATAATATAGATCAAGCTAAATACATTGTATTATTAACATTACGTATACAGGAAAGACTAGTTACTGTCACTTCTAATAAAGTTCTATTTCTGAGTTCTATATAATTAAAGATAAACTTTATTACTTTAGTTTAAAGACAAACTACCGATAAAAAAAACTTATATAACTGGTTCTTAAACATTAGGCTTAACGGTAACAGTTGCGGTGGTATAACAGAAAGGTACCATATGTTTTAACCCAAAACTCTGGAGTTGATCGTTAGCAATTAGTGCCCTTTTTTATCATCACAGTATCTGGCAAACGACAAAAGCATTGGAATTCCTTTTAACTATAATTTATTATAAAAGCTTCAGAACGATACAGCTTTTGTTCTCATCGGTCCATCACTTGCAGAGAAATCTTTATCTGAAAATTCTTCTTCTCTCATTTTCGATGACGAGGAACCCACTTTGAGACTAATAATTGCTGGAGACGGCTTGAATGGGTAATGAAGAAAAACTTTAATATAAGTTTAACATAACAGAAAATGTACAAGGTTTCGACTAGATTTTGTCATCATCATCTTCTCTCATTGTTTATGTCAAAATGTTGATGAAAGTTCATTCCCTTTTGCAAAGTGATTAACCCACAAATGACCTGTTTTCAGTGCTAAACTAGTCAATATATACTGGGAGAATGTCTGAAAGTCATGTTTAGTCTCAGTTGCCCTGCAAGGTGTGATGTTTGCATGAAATGTAGACGTTGTGATCTTGTGGATGCAGTCAACAATGAAGGTCTCTATAATTTCTTTTCGGCCACATTGTGCTGATATATTAAGAGTAGAATATGTCAGATTCTGTGTTTTTACTCTTAATGAAGGTTCCTGTTGAAGTTAAAGCAATCAAAAAAAGTAGTTGTCCGAAAATATTAGGATCCAATCAGAACAAGACAAGAAAACTATGAAGCAAAGAAAACAGTGTGAACAGCATAGTGTATTCATTGCCTTAGCTTATAGAAAAAACTTAGATATGATTCATGTGTATGAGTGTGAACAAAACAACCCAATTTCTAGAGATGTTCTATTCTTATCAATAACATTCACCAAAACAGATGTAAGAGAACCTAACTAGACTAAGTCATGTGACTAATTAGACTGAAAAATAACTAAAAGCAAGACATCCCAACATCCTAGAAGTATAATACTTCAAGATGAACATCGTCAAAGAGATACAGGCTGATTTCAAAGAATAGATGAAGAAGTATCACGTGTATCTTAAGTTTTGACTAACTTGCTTCTAAGATAACAACAATGATTCACATACTAGCCTGATACCACATGTGTAAAATAAACTGACTTCACACAGTACACGTTTAATAGGGATAGAATACTTAAAAATGGAAGAAATAACTATATATGTAAAATACTGAGTTACAGCCTGTTCAAGTTGAGGATTTCAAAGCTGACATTAATGCTGGGGTTTCTGTTAGTGGTTATAAGGGGAGAAGGCTTTTAGTTAAAACTTGTTATAGACCACCAGATGAAACTGGTGTAATTAATGAGATAAAGAATTCAGCTGTTGATGAGGTTATAATTATGGTAGATTTTAATTTCACTCACCTAGATTAAGAGTCCTAAGGTAGACAGGTTTTTAGAAACTGTTCAAGATTGCCTTATTCAACAAATGGTTATGGAACCTACTAGGAACAATGCTACCTTCTAACAAAGAAATGGCTGATAGGGTGGAGATTTGGGAACATACGAGTCCAAGTGATCATTATTCAATTAGAATTGACGTTTTGCTGCATATGGGGATAAGGAATAATATAATTTTGTTTCCAAATGTCAAAAAAGCAAAATGAAAAAGATGAGACAAGAATTATTTGCTGTGAATTTGACAACTAAATTAGCTGGAAATACTGATCAAATGTGAACAAAATTTGAAAATAGATTCTTAAGTATTCAAGATAAGCATAAACCAAAAGGTTGGCTGCAAGTAAAAAAAAACCAAGTTGCATTACAGATGGTATAAAGAAAAGCATTTACATATAACAAGTTTTAAATTGACTGCACTGATGGGAGATTTGGAGGATTATAAAAGTGGTCCCCTAAGGGGTTTTGTGGAAAGATTTACCTTTTATGCAAACCTTGGGACCAAGAAAATTTGTTTGGTACCATTTAAAAGTCAGTGTGACCAACAGTTTAGGAGGAGTTACGTGACACAGCCACTGAATCTTATTATACAGATGTGTTACATGATGTGATACTGCATGTGTTAAATATACTTACTATATGTGTTACATGATGTTAAACTTCATATGTTAAATATACCTACTATATAATGGCTGGAGACAGCTTGAATGGGTAATGAAGAAAAACTTTAATATAAGTTTAACATAACAGCAAATGTACAATGTTTCGACAAAGTTATGTCATCATCAGGTGATGATGACAAAACCTTGTTAAAACGTTGTACATTTGCTATTATGTTAAACTTATTTTCAAGTTTTTCTTCATTACCCATTCAAGCTGTCTCCAGCCATTATTAGTCCCAAAGTGGGTTCCTCGTCATCAAATTTGAATACCTACTATATGTGTTACATGATGTGAAACTATGTGTAAAATATACTTACTATATGTGTTATATGATGTGAAACTGTGTAAAATATACAATGAGTGGTCACAAGTAAATAGACACCTAATTTTTCGTCATTTAACTGATTTATGCTAACTAATTTGTGTTCACAGAGCACTTTCTAAATGAAAATGGTCCGCACACTAATTATATTGTGCTACAACATACCTATAACTCAAGGTTCTCTTGAATTGTCAGATTTTGTTAGAGGAAGGATAGTTGGTCAAGCAGATGGTGGAATAAGTCAGCGGCAAATTTGGCAGAATTTGGGAATCCCGCTTTGGACAGTCAACAGAATCGTCGTGCAGTTCAGGAAACAACTGAGCAGCGTCCAGGTCGTCCTGGTCCATCAGAGAAGACAAAAAGGGCTGTCAAGAGGAGCATCGAAATGGATCCCAGATTAACGACTGCAGAATGGCCAAAGTTGGTGGGATGAGCCCGAAATCTGTTCAACGGATTCTCCACAGATTGGGTTATTGTTGCAGAGCAGCTAGACGGAAGCCCTTATTAAGACCTGTTAACATAGTCAGACGAAAGAAGTGGGCAAGTGATATGATGACCAAGCCTCTGGACTTTTGGAAGACCGTATTGTTCTCCGACGAATCGAGATTCGCTCAATTTTTGAACAGTGGAACGATATGGGTCTGGAGAATGCCTCACCAAGAGTTTTGGCTCAACAGATTGCAACCAACTGTGAAGCATGGTGGTTTCAGCGTGATGGTTTGGGAAGCTGTTTGGGTTGGTAGGAGATCGAGCTTAGTG